ATCGGGTAAAGGCCCTTTTAACAGCGTGAGACAGCGGCAGAGACTTGGAACGAGTTTGAAAGTTGGAATCATGGAGGCAAACTGCCCCGCTGACCGGCCTGGGTATTGCGCAAAGTTGCCCACCCGGTATGTAGGGCAAACCGGGCAAAACAGAGTGCAGGCCCAGGCCCCAACGACGAGGTCCAGATTACAAATTTGCACATGGGCCTGACAGGGGGCAAAATGCAGAGAATGAGGCCCAAAAGGGCATTCCGCTCTACCCACATCTTTTAGGAGCATTTTGGCCTATATCTCAACTTAGGGGTATTTCGCAAATTATCCCTTTCTCGATTTATGTGTGTCATCCTTGCGCAGGGGCCATGCTAATCTCCTCTGTATCATCCCAATTTAATGGATGTCCGGAAGGACACCGACCGTTTTTTCGTCGGACCAGCGCGGTAGCTTTACGTGAGGACCGCTATTTTGTTTTAGGAGTGTGCTGCAATCGCGGGACAGCCATATATTTTTCTCGTACCTCACATACCGCTATTTTCTTTAGGAGTGTGCTGCAATATATCTGTCTCTTATACACATCTAGATGTGTATAAGAGACAGCCCCTTCTCTCCCCCCATCAATAAGCTAGTATTACAATAGTAGCCATAATTCAAGCAATTATTTTACTACCGGTAGTATAACTAATCTGAGTAAATTAGAAAAGTTGTTACTTTAGAAATTTACTGAAGTATCGTGAATGGCTACCCACTTTTATTTATTTATTTATTTAATTTTTACCAACTTTAGCACTGGAAGGGTTCCTTTTTTTTTGTTGCCCAGTTGATTGCCGAGACAGGGAGAAGTTGAAGAAGTTATCCCGGCGAGGGAAGCGGGATGGCCAACGGGAGGAGGGTGGTGATTAAAGCTGTGCGCACGATGGAAAGAAACGCAGGCTACGGTAGCGTCGTCTGAAGCGCTGTTTTTTTTTTCTCTGCCTTTTTCCCCGTTTTGTCCCGACTGTTGATTCTTCCCGGCGATTAATCTGTGTAATCTACTGTCTCGAATATATTTTTTGGTGAAGAGAAAAAGAAAGAAAAGAAACGATTCTCTCCTTGCGCCTGCCAACATAATAAGTTAACTCCAAGATAACAAACCCATATAACAAAGAATCCTAATAAGCCTATTAAAGCAACTTTACGACCTTTGCAAGCACAAGTATGCCCTTGTCAGTGTCCTAACGAAGTTCTCTTGTGTACAGCGCATCCAGGCAGATGAGGGCGTACCTGGCTTACTGCATGGCCTAACGCATTATATGGTCCGTTCTGGCCACTGCACACGAATACGGCTAAGTAAAATAAAGAGGATTTTATTACAAGTTTTTTTTATTATTTTTTATTTTTTTAATTTTAATTTAATTTTATTTATTACACGTGTTTTTGGATCTCGGCAGTCGCGGCGCAAGCCTCGGAGTGAGCGAGGATCCGTATGAAACAATGTAATGGACATCCTTATGGCAGACTGAGAACCGAGTAGCGTTGAGGCCTGAACGTCTGTAGCGTGGGTGTGGCCATGCTTTTCCACGATGTGGTTACGCTGGGAAATTAAACCACTGACTACATTGTAATTTGAGTCTTATCTCTCTCTACGAGTCGCGTACGTAGTTCCTAAAAAAAAAAAAAAAAAAAAAAAAAAAACCCTCGCGTACGGAGTTCCTCCCCCTCGCCCACCCAGTTCATCCCTTCCCCCGCTTTTTTCCCCCCCGCATACACAAACGCGGAGATAAGGTCCTCGCGGCACGACTCTCCAAATGTGAAAAAAAAATGAGAATGAATCTTCCGCTAGAACATGGAAGTATACGCCGCCATAATTTGTTGTCTTTTGTGCATGGGGAGACTACTAGTGGAGCGACGCCCAAACTTAATCAACCTGTCGAGTGGAAAACAGTTGGCCAGCCGCCGTTTCTCACATTTCCCCTGTTGGCACTTTGTTGAGACCTTTACGTTGGTGCGAGGTGAGCTCTGCCTTTCTCGATTTATGCGAGTGCGTTATTCGATTTAGGCGTGTCATACTTTTGCGCAGGGGACATGCTAAACTTCTCTGTATCATTCCAATGTCAACGGATGCCCCCAAGGATAGCTCTGTCCCCAACGTTTGATGCACACAGTTAGGTTGCTCTTCGCTAAAACATCGGCTCCCTCAATACTGTCGAAGGAAGACCGTCACGTGACCATCGTCGCTGTTAAATACGATGATAATGTAATAATAGAATAATAATAGTAATATTATGATCGCGAATTAGGGAACAGATCTGTGCATGAATCTGGCCGCTACGCTGGAGAGGAGAGGCAAGCGCCAAGGCGTTCGGAGAGAGGGAAAAAGACTTGGGTTTGAGGGGGGCGGGGTGAAGCGGGGAGCGAAAAGGCGGAAGGAAGGGGGGCGCAAGGAGGAGGGAAGAGGGAAAGAGGGGTGAGAAGACTGGGCAGGCGCGTATGGAGATGAGTGGGGTCCCCTGCAACAGTAGGGGGGGACTAAGAAAGGAGAGAATGCGAACGGGGTGGAGTAGGGTGCCTGCCCGCGAGACAGGCACCGAGGCAGGCGCGACGACACAGCCTGTTACAGCCCCCGCCTGGTAATTATATATTTTCTGCATTCCAAATGGGCTTGCCTCTGGAATAGCAGAGGGAGGTCAGATAACGAGTTGGAACTTTACAAATGTGAGAGATGCTCTGTCGAATGCATGTGTGCGTGTGTACGTGTGTGCGCGCGCGCGAGAGAGAGAGAGAGCGAGCGAGCGAGCGAGCGAGCGAGCGAGAGAGAGAGAGAGAGAGAGAGAGAGAGAGAGAGAGAGCTTTTGTTAAGAACACTTTTACCCGCTCCTCTGTGTGGCGTGTGTGCGTGCACGTGTGTGTGTGCGCGCGTGTTTGCGTGCGTGTGCGTGTGTGCGCGTGTACCAGGCGTGGTTGTGTGTGTGTGTGTGCGTGTGTGTGTGTGTGTGTGTGTGTGTGTGTGTGTGTGA